GTGTGTGAAAACGTGTGCAGAATTTGGCAGTCTTTTGTGTTTGCAGAAACAGACTGCCATTAAGAAGAGCACATTTCAGCCTTATGGACCACCTGAGGTGATCTTCAGCCATATAATAAGACTGAAATAAGATCTAAATGGCCAGGGGGTAAATGTTTCTCTTGTTCCACTCCTCACTTCCCCTTTCAGATTAAGCTCCCACTGACTTCATTGACAGTTTGTCTTAATGGAGAAAAATAATTGAATAAATCTCCAGGTATGACTCATACAATAGCTGTGTGATCCACCCAGATACAATACCTCATTAGTCTATTAAAAAAAAAAAAAAGCGTGACTGTTTTGTGTGATATTATCTTTAAGGAGGAAGACTTTGCCCCTTGGCTGCTGTTGCTGGGAGAACGTTCACCTCCTGTCAATATTGTGGTATCAGATTGGGGCCTCGTGATGCCCTCCTTTTGGAGATGTGGAAGCTCAAAGTTTAGCAAAGTGTCATGGCATGTGCCTTTGCCTTGGTGTTCAGTTATCGCATGAGAGCGGTGGCTATTGGCCTTGTTGGCTTTGACCAGAGACAAATCCTACAATCTGAGTTATATTTCCTGCTAGGTCCTCCATGGACTTTGAAGGTTGAACCAATTTTAAATCTCACAAATCATCCTTACTCACCCAACTGACTGAGTCGAGAACAAATTGTCAAGGGAGTAAAATACTTTCCACTTGTTTCCACTGCACGTCCCGTGATGTCATTAACACCTCAAGTCCTCTCGCCCACTTCCAGTGCAGAGGCTCCCTCTTTTTCACCCCTTTTATAGAGTTAGTGTTAATGCCTCCCACACCTCGTAACATGCAGACACACATCCCTCCAGAGCAGAAGTAGACCCATGTTCTGGTTGCAGTATGGTTTTCAGGGTTGTGTGTTAGGTGCAGCACATAGTAGAGGTACCAGATGTCAGACAGATTCTAAAAGGTCCTAATTCTTATTTTGCTAGCACAGCAAGTACCCAGAGCTACTAAAAACAACACAAAACAAAACAAACAGAAAACCATAAAGCATAAAATGCTGAATTACTTTTCCTGCAGGAACCTTCACTTGTGGGTGCCAATGATTCTTCTGCTGAACTTTGTGCTTCATCTCAGTACTGCCCAGCCCATCTTGGTCAGCTTTCTCTCACTGTGGATGGTCTGAAGTAGCATAAACCCATCCAGTCTTGAGATCATTTACTATCTCTTTCTCTCTTGGATCCCAGTGGATCTGGGAGTCTCCCCATCCTTTCCACTGAGCTCTGTCAACTACTGTCGGTATCTTTCTTCCTTTACCATGTCTCAGGGCATTTGCCAATCCAGAACAGGAGAAAACTTGCTGCACCTAGCCCTTGCCTGAATAGCAAACCATTGGGAGTCTTGCATTAAATTTGTGCTTAGGGACATGGTTTAGTGGGTGACGTTGGTGGTTGAGGGATGGTAGGACCAGATGATCTTGGAGGTCTTTTCCAACCCTAATGATTCTGTGATTCTATGAAATGATGTCCTTGCCAGTAAATGGTGAGCTCCACAGCCACACAACAGTATCTCACAGCAGCTTGATGTTTCACAAGTTGTATACAAATATAAGCCACAGGTTGTTTTACGTGTGCAAATACCAATGCGTGCAGTGGGAGATGGGTGTAGATACAAAGAAGCACCGTACGTGAGTGAATTCCTAATTATGGCTTAGGAATTCACTCATGTACAGTGCTTCATTGTATCTGTAATGATCGAGGAGGGGTTATTCACTTAATGAACTAATCTGTAATGAGTCATAAGGTAAATTTAAGTAATTGCTCACTGTTTTGTGTAATCTAAGTGGTAACCAAAGATTTATGGATAACTGAAGATCAGCTGCGTGACAGCAGTGAGCAATCTGATGCCATCACTATACGTGCTGGGGAAGAGAAGCTCTTATCTGGCAAGGCAGCCGGTGCAGGTACATGGCAGTGTGACATGACAGGGGAGACACAGGGCTGTGCTCATAAGGGAAAGGTGAGGGCAAAACCCCCTCGCACTGCCCTGGTGCAGGCAGTCAAAGTAACACATCACCACCAAGTGATTTGCTGGCTGGTGAGCCCACGTGCAGCCCTGGAGTAGCTGCACTGTGTGCTGCTTCTTCCTTGATAGGAATCTCACCAGAAAGGTGCAGTCAATTGGTTTGGTTAGGGGATAAAGGACAACAAATGGCAGAAAAGCTGTTTTTATTCATCCTACCGGTTGTACAATGAGGTGTGGAGTTTTCCCATGTGATATTGTCCTTCTCGGCATTTAATTTTTCTAATAAAATGATTTAATTAAGGGCTTCAGGAAGCTGATCTTAAGGAATTTCCCAAATCTGTAGTCAATCTTTCCTGTTATTTAAGGAAGTACAGTAGAATGAATTGGAACTGGAATTTTGGGCCTTTAGAGAAGGGCCCCAGGTGTGTGCTTTGGAGATGGGTCTTATTTTTTCTCAAAATCCGTGTGTTTTCAGATCCAGGACTCTAGTTCTGGACTCTCTTGGACTGTAATTTTTTCCTACCATACCAGCAGGGAATGTTTTCCTCCCAGGCTGGATGTTGGGGCTTGATGGACAAGCTGCCTCATCGGCTATGGCAGAGCCTATGTTTCTGCTAACATCTTCTCACGTAAATATTCCATTCATCAAAAACGTATGACACGCAACATAATTGCGTAAAAGGGATGATGTACGAAGAAAAATACGTAGTGCCCGTGGCTAAGAATTTCTTAGTCAGATGTTCAAAATGCACATCGATGCACCAAGGAAATATTTTGAGGTATATTGTTAAAGCTTGCTATGACTAAAGAATTTATTTATGTTAAACATGATAGCTACCATTGGAGGACAAATCACTGGGATGAATTTGCATTTCTCTTTTTCTGGGGCAATGGAAAATTTCCATTTTTTTTTCCTTGTGTAAATTCAAACAAATCTGCTCTTTGGTCTTTCCAGCCAGATTACTTCAGTAGTTGCCCTCAGGACATCTTTTTGAGCATAAACTTGTGCAGGGTTCATGTTTTTGTTGTTGTTGTTGTTTGTTTATTTGTTTTTGTTAATTCCAAGGACTTTTTTACTGTTTTCCCTATTAAATCTGAAGGAGGAGGGAATGATTTTGTCATTGCAACTATTCCCAGAAAAGATTATGTAGTTTGACCCCAGGGTACTGAGCTCCCTCACTTTAAGATCTGAAATTTGTAAAGATTGGGATGTTTTGTGCTTGAATTTAAGAAGTGTGGGATATGGGAAGTTTTTGGTGTTTAAGTGCAACATTGACTTGCAGGACTGAGGACTGAAAATCTGAAATCTAGAGTAGAGAAAGTAGGAAAGAGAGAGGAGACTATGGTCTTGTATTGTTGTCATGTATCCTTAGTGAAATGCTGCGGTGAATTTATGACTCTAACCAAGGACAAGCTGCTTTTGACATAGCCTGTTAATTTCTAACAGGAATGAATGAACAGCTGAGTGGGTGAAAGCAGCAAAGAACAACAAACAAATAATACAAGCTTAAAGAAAGCAATATGCAATAAATGAAATGTTACAGTATGTGGCTACGCAAGAGAACCTGGGGGAACTGCAAAAAAAAAAAAAAAGGATTGAAAGGGAAGGGGAGTTTGTAACAGAGTAAATACGAATTAATATTAAGCTACAGTGAAATTCCCAAGGAATTATATTTTGCATCCACATGAATACTAGGGTAATTCATCATGATTAATGATGTTACAATGAATCCTGGTATGTGTTGAAATACTTTCCTGTTCTGAAAGTAGGAGAAAAATGTTTACTATGAACAGCTAAGTATGGGCATTAATCATTATGTCTTTAATGGCAGGTCAAAATTATTTTCCTGCTGCTAATATTCTGCCCATTATTATAACATTGAGAGTTAATAGACCGACTGAGACAAATGTAAAATTCCTAAAGAAATTGTGCAATTTAAGCCAGAGTTGCATAGAAACTCCCAGCCCTCCCGAAATGTTTGGGCAGTCTCCTTTGTTACTTTCCATGGGGCGCCAGTGCAGAATGGCTGGAGGAGCAGTCAACGTGACACGAGGTGTGTTGACACCGATTTCACAATATATCCTTTATCATTAAGGTGCTGTGCTTTTGGCTGCTCCTGAGGCTTGGAGAGAGCTGGAAGGAGCAGCATGATCCTGGCAATCCCTGTCCGTTCACCCTGTTCCCTCCTGGAGCCCATCTGCAGCAGCCTCTGTGGAGGGACAGCTCACGCTGTACGTGCCACCCAGACGGACGGACCCTGAGGGGACAGCAAGAGAATTTGGGGGCTCTGAGGGTGCCAACAGCCTGGGAGCTGGGCTGTGGTGATCCTCGCTATGCCATGTGCCAGCAGGCTGGCCTGCTTTTCCTCCCCACGCGTGCCTCCCACAGACATGCTTTTGAGGGGCTCCTCTCATGCCAAAGTGGTTTTATTTAGGGGAAATTACCCTGGCAGGCGCATACCCCTATCTGTCTGTTTACATTTTGAAGCTTCTGGGGCTGCATCCAAAGTCCACTGAAATCAGTGGGAGCCTTTCCACTTACTCTGATGAGCTCTGGTCAGGCTGAGTATCGACACAAAAAGGAGGCACACGCTTGTTTTGCCAGCATCCCACTCCCTTCCTCCCCACATCCCATGCCCCAGAGTCTTGTCTGCCTCCTCCTCTCCCCATCGACACCATCACCACATAAAACAGACAGGTTTAACAAAGATTTGTGTTATCAGTGACGCTTAGAGCTTCCAGAAATCAGGAGGCTTTGTAATCACGGTGGCGGGCTTTGTAATCCTCCTGTGCCAGGACTGATTATACAGGTAATGGGGTGCTATAGAAAATGTTATCACTACCTATTCAGAGTGCTAATCCAGTGACTAGAAAATTAATGATCGCATTACATTTGCACGTATTTCTGTCTGTCTAAGGCATGGGACTATCTCGTTTTCCTTATTGGATTCACTTGCTTGGTTTATGTCCTCGTTCTCCACAGGAAACACAGCCACCCCCCTTCCACAGCCACACGCAGAGAAACCAAGGTGGGCAAGGAGATGTGGGCAGCCTGTGGCTGGACGTGGGCCTGAGCGTGTGTCACCAGGCACCAGGCTGGAGCACAGAGGAAACCTCCCATCATTTCAAACAAAAAAATGACTTTTTTTTAAAATGAAGAGCCAAATCGGCAACATTTTGCAACACAAATGGCTGAAGTAATCATTACCAAGCAAACAAACAGAGATAGGAAAGGGGCAGGGAGAAGAATCTAGGCATTTTAACATTTTTTTTTTTCATGGTTTGAGGTCTCGTAGCTGAATCCAAGCCATACTTTCAGGTGATGCTGGAGCAACTGAGTGGCTTGCATGTGGGGACTGGTGAGACCAACAGTGCTTCTCGTTCACCCTTGTGTTTCCTCCGCTCTAGTAGCCCTGGCAAACATTTTGCAATGCTGTGTGTCCCTGTTTATAAGTGCCGGTAAGGGATGGTGATGTTTATGCCATGGAAACAGGACTTTTATCTGCCTCGGATGAGCATTTAGAGGAAAATTTCCCTGGAAAACGAGGTTTGCTACCCTTTTCTGTCCCTTCTGCTTCCCGGGCACACAGGGCCCGCAGCCTCTGCTGGGAGCTGGCCCCTCTGCCTTGCTCGGTGAGTGTTGGAGCAGGGGCCGCAGCCGGCTCCTGGGCCAGCAGAGGGGTGCACGGCCACCCCCATCAGCTCCTGGCACGGGAGCAGAGCCAAGGGGAGCTGGCAGGGAGGAACCAGCATGTGTTGCAACCGGTTCCTCTCGGCTGACATCAGGGCCCCCGGGGGGCTGCCTGCAAGCCAGCGCAGCTTAAGCAGCCCTGGCACGGGTTATGAGGCACGAAAGTGGCTTGGAGCCACCTTTGTTCCTCCCCTGCTAGCCCCTCCGCTGTGCCCAGGAGCGGAGGATGTCAGGGAGCCGGGATGGAGGCAGCTACCGGCCAGGAACCCGCGGGGAAGCGAGAGATGTTTTAGTCAGCAATCGTTTCGATCGGCTCTGCAATGTTTTAATCGCGTCCTCCTTACAAGGAGTTGCAAAGACTAATGGCCTACGCGGTATGATACCAAGGAAAGGATTTTGTTTAACATAGTGGGGAGTGTATAAAGTAGCAGACGAGAGCTTTGGAAAGATTGGATTAAATTCAACAGATCTGGAGGAACTCTGTGTGCGTGTCTGTAAATCCTGGGGTCCTTAGCTTTGTCTTGGGCTCAGCACCAGCCGACCGAGGGCTGCAGCAAACTAGATTATCCCGATCTTATGCTGTCAGCTTTTATGCTAAGAGCAGCTTATTTCTAATCATTTCTAAATGATATTTAAAAGGCTATATGCATAAAGATCACACGTATTCAAAAGGTTCTACTCTGCAATAATCTTCATGCCATGCTTTAGTCCTGGAAACAGCAGTGGCTTTCTGGAGTTAGTGAGCTGAATCCTATGGTTGCTCCCGTGTCCTCTTTGGAGTTTATTTGCTCACATTAAGATAAGCAGGTATGCAGGAATGGACCTAGTGGAGCGAACGTAAAGGGTTAATTAGATCCTCCCTACCACCAGGATATAAAAATGCAAAAAACAGACTTTAGAATGAAAGAGGAAATTGGTTTTCCTAATTTCAAGCAAGAGGTAGCAACTTACCACAGCTTGTTGCTTAAAAAAACTTGGTAAGTTAACTCAGTCAATGAAGTGGTGACATTTCTCAACAGTCCGTAGCATTGCCTCAGACAAACATTTATGTTTTTCATAAGCAGCGACATTAAATTTTTAACCAACGTTTGGCAGATGCTTTTATGTTTCTAAGCATTTCATTAAAGTTTCAGCATATGTGTCAAATCTGAAAAAGCCGTTTTTGCTACATGTGTGAGTGCCCCAGAAAACTTTTCTGCAGACGGGTGTAATGGCTGGGAGAAGACTATATGGTCTTGTGTGGGGCTAAACACTCCCTTGGGAACACGAGATGGTGTGAGGGATGTGGAGACTCAGGAAAGCCAGATCTGGGCAAGATGAGTGCCTGAGAGCTGTTGAACGTCAGGCAGTATGGGCTGAGGCATTGCTCCTGGATGAAGGGTGAAACTGGAAGGAGTTTGCAGGGAGAGCATGCTTGTATTGGCGACAATAGTGAAGAGCAGGCAGAAAAAAGATCACAGATAAGAAAGCAGTGGGGACTTGAGGAGGAGGTCCTGGATGTGTTGGGAAGTGGGGCTGCAACAGGGTTTAGCAGCAGATACATCGTCTCCTGAGAACCAGAGGGTATTGGAAGGCTTAACTGTGGTCTAGGATAGAGCAGCTCATGCATGGCCATGAGTTACTGAGATAATGAGGTGGGAGTGAGTGATGAAGGATTATATTCAGCAGGAGGGAAGCAGTTTGGTTCCTTCATTGCTCATTCCCAAGCACTCTAATGTTTGGGTGGTATTTCAGTGGCAGGGTTTTTATAAGGGAAGTGTGATGTTGTTTTATGGAGTGCTAGCCAGATCCCACTGAGCCATACTCTCAATCTTCAGTCTTCTTAGTCACAGTTTTTTCAACAGAGCATTCATCTGTTCATAAAGTTGCCAGTGTTTCAACATTATCATTGCTAAGGACTGGCCTACATTCACATTTTTTTGCCAATACAACCGTCTCGGAAGTGTGGGTTTTTATGGTTTTGTTTTGTTGTTGTTATAAAGGTATAGTCATTAGTGGGAGTGCATTTATGCCCATTTATACCAGGACAAATATCACTTGCTATGGTGAAGTATCCCACTTAGTGCCTGGGAACTGCCGCACTACCATAAACAACTCTTCATACTGGTGTGTAAAGGATGCATTAGCACGAGTGTTAGCAGTATTGGAATGACAGAGTACTACAGAGTTGTAATATAGAAACAAACTTGGAAAACAATGTCAGAAAGGTGCTGCTGAGCCTTCAGAGTGTCTTTTTAGGTTTTGAGTTTGAAGGATCTTTCTGATGCTCTAGAGCTTTTGTCTCTTCAAGAAGACACAGGTTTTGTAAATACTCTGTATTTCATCTAGGCTTATTTTTGAGAAGTCATCTGAAGTTATTTTCATGACACACCAACAAGGCATTTAGAAAAAATCTTTTCTTCAGCTGCACAGAAACAACAGTGCAACCAGTTACTTTTGAAACAAACACATTGTTTTCCCCTTTCCTGTGATACTCCTCCACCAGTTCAAAATAGCCTTATATTGGCAAGCAACATGAGAATAAAGTACTGTGGTTGAATCCTCAGTAACATCTTTTCCTTAGTGGACTAAGCTTTTCACCTGTGATTTTGGGCTCCAGTGGCCAACACAAGCCATGATACAAAACGCTTGGAACAAGATTGTCAAGTCGAAGGCTACTGAAGTTGAACCTGCATGATTTAAAAGAGGGCTTTAGAGCAGCAATAATACACATGTGGACAGTGAAAGTGTTTAAGGCAAAGGACATGTCAACCTCTGCAACAGCATTTTGGCTGACATACTGTGACAAGGGGTGCTTAAAGGCTCCCAAGCACATGCCATGATAGCTTTACAGATGCCCACTGTGGCACAGTCAGCCTTATCCAGAAAGGTGCAGTGACTTCATGACCAGCTGGACACTCATCACCAGAGTTTCGTAAACAGAGCTGCTTGTTGCAAAACGTGCCCATACCATCATGATGGAACTGAGCCGCAGATATTTTTGGAGCACTGCTGACTTGCTCTGGCGGAAGGTCTGGCATATGGGTTGCTTATGCAGTTCACCTTTTCTCATTTTGAATGTTTCATCCTCTTCTTTGTGGTTTTTGGTTGTACTCTGGTGTCATGACTTCAGCTGTAGTGGTCAGTCAGGTATAACATATCTCTTGGGAGTGCTGGTATCCAAGAAGGTAGTTTACATTCATTGCTGTTCCTAACTGCAGGTTGGATTTTATACCTGGAGGCACTGTTTCTGTTAGAGTAAACATTAGGGTTGCTAGAGGAATTGGACACGTGCAATTTACTTACATCAATGCTCTGGCCCTGCCCAGTTTTCCTTCAGTACCTACAGTCAGATTTTGCATTGGCAAGGTCCAATAAAACTTCAGATTTCGAATACCTCTTTGTCCTTCATTCTTAAAAGGGTGCAGTGTATTCTTCCAGGACACCTGCACCAGTCAAATTCTAAGTAGACTTATTTAGGGATGAATAAGTCCAGTTTGGAAAGGGCTTTGCCACCATCCTGGAGGCTCAAGAAGTAGATACCTCTATAGCTAATTTTTAAAGCAAAGAATTCAATGGCTTCTATTACTTTGGGACTAAAATGCAGCGATCAAGTCAAAAGAGTAGTTGCTTCTCAGGGTCAGAGTGGCTTTCTCTTCCCTCTAACCATGGTCATTGCTAGAAGAAACAGCATGCAATCCTATTAATGAAATGATGACCAGATACAAACCTGGTTTTGGGGGTGAGTGTGAAAGGCTGGAAGGAGGGGGAGGCTAAGGTTGGATAGCAATATAGCAAAGCAAGTCAGCCAGTGAGTCAGTGACAGGAGGAAGGGGACCAGGGCCTCCAGAAATTTAATGCTAAAATGTAAAAACAGAATAAAACCACTTGTTCCCTAAAGAGACCTAGTCAGATGGAAACCTGGTCTCCATAGCAGGCCCTGAAATATTCTGGACACGTTTTACATATCGTAATAAAAGTGACTCAGTACCAGCTTTTATTTTAGTAGTGCAATTAAAATGCTTTTAAAACGCAAAATAAAACCAAGAGACACATGATCAGCATGAAACAATTATTAGTAAAACTACAACAATCCAGGATTAAAATACTTTATTAAATAAAGAGCAAATCAGTCTTCATACTGAGTTAGAATTAACTCACCAAATGAAAGCCAGCTCTAAGCAATCTCAAGCCCTACTCTAGAAGGTAGAATATGAAGTTTTGCTACAAGCCTCAACTGAGGAACTATACTAAACACTGAAATTATTAATTTGAATTTAGTTGACTGTCTTATAATGAGTTCGAGGGTTATTTTGATTGCCCCTCAGCTTTGATTAAGAGTATATTCTTTAAATTACATTATAGTTTTACACGGCACCTTGAAAATTAAGAAAGAGGCTAGTTTGTCCACACAACTGCTAAAACAAAAGACGAGAGAAGTTGTTCCACGAGGAAGAAGCTTTGCTTCCTGTGGGTTTATGCCCTCTCTCTCTCAGCCTCTGGTTTCTTAAATTCTCTTCCTGTCGGACTGTGCAGGCGGCTGGCCGTAGGTGTGCTGACTGCCTGGCTGTTGGTCCCACGTGGGAGCACAGGTCCCAGACCTCTCCCTTGCCAGGTCAGAAGGAAGGCACAGATACCTCACCTCTTGGACACCTCCCTTTCTCCATTATTTGGGCAGAAATAAACAGCCAGGTTGCAGAGCTAATAGCTGGGCGAACAAAGTAATCACTTTAGCTTTGTGTCCTTGGGAAACCAGGCTAGAGAACAGAAGAGTAAGTAAGAAGATACTAAAAATATGAGGGCAGTGCAAGCTCTTCAGCTCTCAGTCTTCTGCATGCTTGTGTAGCAGGGGCTGGGAGTGCACAGCAGATGTGGTACTGTTTTGCTGGCATACTGCTTTCCACTAGGAGGGATTTTTCAGTCTGGAGCAAGGAAAGAGATGATGGATTAGTCAGCTACTGAAGGAGCTTTTTTTAATGTCGGTGCAGTGACTTGCTTTTCCCCAAATGATAGCTGTTGATATTCTGAAGCAGCAGTATTCCCTCAGGTTGCTTGCTGACCCATAAGACAAGGCTTTTCTGCCTCACCCTTGAATTTTGTGGGTTGCCTTGCACTATTTCCCTTAGGGCCAGGCATCTTTGTCCAATCAAGCTTGAATTAGGTCATTGTTAACTAGTGTCAACTTGGAGGAGTCTTGCTGAAGCTGGCAGTCTAAAAAAAAATTAAATATTTTCCATGCCACAGAGACTATTGGTCTGTGACCCACCAAAATATCAAAAATCCAGATGTATAAGACCAATTCTGATGAAGTTGGCGTAGTCTTATCTGGGTCAATTGTCTTAACAAGACATTATGTCACCAGTTAGGGGAAAATACAATCTAAAACCCCTAAAAATAACTAATGGGAAAAACCTTGCACAATAAAGCCAGTCGCACAGCATTTGGTCATCAGAAAAATAAAAATAATTTCAGACTCATGATATATTTAATCATCTGTATTTATTCCTCTGCTAATCTAAAAACAGGCAAATGTTCTTTTTCTTCTTGGAAACAACACAGTTCCGGAAAACTTCATATTTCAGGCAGCTCTTCAAACAGCTTTTCTGCTAAAACTTAAATTTCATTTTTTGTTAGGAGGAAAGCAATTGGAATGAAAAAAATTTGAATTTTATATAAGATCCTTTACCATACCAGCTATGTTGAGGAGAACTATTCTGTGGGCTTTCAGAATAGACACCAAAATAATATATTTTGTATGTTTCATTACAGAAAGAGAACTAAGATTTTGTGACAGTCATTCTGATCTGGCCTGGATAAAGCAGAACTGAAGATACCTGAAGGAAGCTAGACCAAGAATGAAAAAGCATCAGATGGGAACAAATATAATTAATCCATATTAGCTGCCATATTGTCCAAGAAGGGGAGTGGCAGCTCCGTAACAGCAGCAGCAGAAAGAGCCCATGAAAGAAACAAAAAAGCAGAGGAGTCTGTCATGTCATGTGTATGTAGAAAGCATCCTGTGCATGAATTATTTTGCTGTGGTGATGACTGAAGCCTTCAAGATCACTTCTCCATTAGGAGAAAAGTTAGCTAGGTATCCTTAGACACCAGCTTCCATTTCCTTTTTCCTCCGTGGCTTTTTCATATAAAAAACATCAAGGCAGGAGTACACCAAACTATGGTATTGAGTCCAACCATTTATGGAGATTTTCAAGACCAGCCTAGATTTGAGAGGAAAAGAAAAAAAAAGCAGTGCAAGGAAAGAGCTGTAAAGAAGATCTCTAAGTCTGTGATGCTGCAAAAGCTTGAAAGGTCCTGTGTTCCTTCACCACAGCATTATCCAGAAAACACAAGATGCTTTCAGTGAGGGGATACCTTTGAGAAAGGAGATGCAGTAAAGCATTTCAGATGCCTTGGAGTTCTTGAGGATCTTGAAAATGCTTGTTTGGAGCTTTTTTCTTTTTCTAAGTGGATTAGAGATTTGGTTGGATTAGGGCCTTAATAAATACCTACAGTGTTTGTCTTTCATCTGCGAAATGTTTGCTTGCTTTTAAATAGACTATTCTTGTTTGCTCCAGTGTTGTCATGTTGATGTGAAACTCTGGAAACAGGAATTCTGCCCTTAATTCAATAAAAGGATTTGGAAACCTGAGGCCAAAACTTGCCTCAAATATAACTGGTATAAATCCAGAGTAGCAGGACTTTATTTCAGCGCTGGAGAAGCAGCAGGAGACTCGCTCCTTGACAATTTTTGATGTCTGGATGACTTGTTTATGTGCCTCATGATAGTTTGTGGTAGTGTAGCTATTATTTTTAAAGCTCAGCCCTGGCCAGAGGGCAGCCGTTCCGTTCCACACGATGGGGAAACCCAGCAGAGACAGTTCCTTCGTCTGGAGGACAGAAGACTGCTGGCTATGGCAGAGATGAATGGAGAGGCCAGGCCTGGCCATCTTTGCTGGTCCGGTGGCCATGAGATCATTAAACGAAAGTGGATCTTGTTAAACAAGAACAGATCGCATGAAATCTTTAGGTGGCCTTGAGTCAAAGACGCGCAAGGAAAGGTGCAGTGCAACAGTGCTTACTCCTGGTGCTGTGCATCACTGCTGCTGCTCCTTTGCCTGTTTTTCCTTTGCTGAGTGGCTTGGGTGGTCCAGGGTGCAGATAAGCCTGTGCATACGATGCCGTTGAGAAGATGCTGCCTCCTCTGTATCCATAAACAGAGGAGCCATAAAACCTAATCCCTGTCACTCTGGCTATCCTTTGGATGCTCTTAACTGATGAACATGTCAAAGGTTGTAACTCAGTGATGACAATTTATTGCAGCGATTTATAACTTCAGTCATGTACAATTAACAACCTACAGGAGGGTAATGATGAACATCTACTGCAACCATTTCTCAGTTGTGTTGGTGGCCAGAACAAAGTATGTCAAGGCACAAAGGCCATGGACCGGGGAGTGGGAGCCACCTGCTAGCTTTGTGGACAGGGAGGACTCCATCTCGGAGTGCTGACTCATGGCACTGTCATGAAGCCATGTCATGGCACTGTCTTCATGTCATGAAGACCCCCCCTCAGTCCCTCTCCCATTGAGGCATGCACGGGCCTGGTTGTGTGCTGGCACCATGGGGGAAGTTTCCCATTGCCGATGAGGCTGAGGCAGAAGGTGACAGTGGGACTGTCAGCACCTTCCCTTGCAAGGTGGGGTGCGAGGTGGAGCTGGAGGCATGGGGAGCTGCACGAGATGTAGTTGTGCATGAGATGTAATGGAGTCATCACAGCAGGCCTGGCCTGTGGTGGCAGGGCTCGGAGGGTGTTCAGCAAGATGGCTGACTCCCACCATGATAGTTGCACTTGCTTCCTCCTTCTTGCCTACTCCCACTGCTCATCCCGCTCTCACTGCTCATCCACCTTCACCAAGAGATGGTAGCAAGAGGCAAACAAGACCCCTGCCCATTTTGGTGGCAGCGAGATGTGGGACTCTCTGGAGTGGCCGGAGGGGACACGGGCCCAAGCCTGCTTCCCAGCCATCTGGGGAAGTGGTAGGGTTGTGCCTGCTCTGCAGGCAGAGATCTGTTTCCAAGGGCATTATTGACAGTCTCTTTGTAGAGCGGAGATTAGCTCAATAATGAATGCCTCAGAATAAATCAATGGTGGGACAGCTTCTAGACCTGGTGATTTTCCACCCTCTGCAGCTTCTGGGTAGCACACGAGTGCTGGCTTCAGCCCAGCAGGGACAGCAGGGCATGCTTCAGCTCTGCTGGAAAGTGCTTAAGGAGGGTATTGGCTTTTGCCTCATTTCAGGAACGTGGCCTTTTTCTTCAAGGTGCACCTCAGCAGCATTTTACGTATCCTCCAGGCTGACTTTTTTGCTTCAAGGAGCTGTAAAGGTCACCTACAGGGCTGTTCAGATGTCATTACTCACTCTTTAATACTGAGTCCTTTGCCATCTGATCTTTTCGTATTTGTGATGATGGAGAGTGGTCTTCATTCTGCCTGATGAAGACAGCTGCTAGCTTGCAGTGTTTATTTCTGCTCATGTAAAATCTTTTAAGAGAACTGTATTGATCTTTATAAAGGAAAATTACAAGGTCATGAGACAATTATCACACGCTGAATTGCATAGTGTACATTGGTATTGAAGAGGGCAAGTCCTACAAGTAAAGGTGAATTTTATGTGTGGAATATAATGAAAATTGACCTGCGTGTAACATCCCATAAGGTGATACAAATTATTACAATGTATTACTTGTATTTTAAGGATCCCATGTTTCTATCCACCACAGTCATATATGACAAAAAGAGTTTTTGTCCCAAAGCCTTTCTTTTGGCAATGTATTCATGTGACAAATGCAAGTAGGAAAGAGCAATAAGAAAGGAAGGTGGCAAAGGATACGAAAGGACACGCATCAACCCAATGATCACAGATGTTAGCATACTGTCTACCTGCCCAATGTCAGCTGATTTGTAGACATAAACGATTGTTCAGCCCCATTTTTTTCTACAGAGATTGTTTTCAATACAGCCGTTAGTAGTCTTCTTGTTTTGTGTTTTGTTTTGTTTTGTTCTGTTTTGTTTTGTTTTGTCAGATTAGGACAGCAGTAGATGAGTTGGTATTAGACACACACACAAGGGAAGAAGCAAAGAAGAAACCAGAAGGTTCATGTCAGATTGGAGAGTCAACAGGGAAACTGTTTTATGGTGGTGAGAGAAAGATGTCAAATGACAGGCGGAACAGTTTGGGCAAGTGGAGGTGTTATTCTTTGTGTCATTTTAATGGCTGATGATTAGAAAAGAAGAAAGAGAGGGCAGGCAAGAATATTTTGCCATTAAAAGGGATAAGAAAGAAAAATTGTGTGATCTCCTAGGACAGATCACACGCCCAGAGCTAAACTTGTCACAACAGAATCAGGTTGATTCATGAGTCTGTGTGCTGCATGTAATTATACCTTATTTAAAAATAATATTAATATATATTAAAAAAAAAAAAAAAGGAATGGTCTCCAGGTTCTGTGGCGCTGCTCCTGCAGAGTGAAATCCTGCCCAAATTAGGGTGGAGGAAGCGCTGCTGGAAGGCCCTGAGCTGCAGGGCTCCTCCTGGCCAAACCAAGATTCCTTGGGATGGTTGAGGCAGTACGTTCTAGAAACGAAAACACACCCGGGCCTTCCTCCAAAGGCAGCTGTCGTGCTAGCAAGCCTAATAAACTAGCCACCCCCCAAAACCACACGCCGCGGTAAGCTCTTGCGTGAGCTTGCCCACATGGTGAGCTGGTCCTCTGTGCTAGCTCTTTCTTGAGTGTGGAGAACCTGATCAGCTACACGGGCCGGAAAAAGAGGCCCCCTACATCTGCTGAACAGCACATGATAGGATTTAGCCAAGAGATGACTTAATTTCTGTGGAAATAGCCTGTTGTTTTTTTTTTTTTTTTTTTTTTTTTTTTTTTTTTTCCAGAGTGGCTGAGCACCATGCACATCCTACTGAGAATGAGGGGAGGGGGAAGAGGCAGGCGCTCAGCCTTGCTGATGACCGCTGCGACGGGCTGTGTTCCTTGGTGCAACAGGAAGGGCTGTCAGGTTCTGCATGTCTTGCAGATGTATTTTTTTTTTCTCTTGCAAAATTCAGCCATGGCTGAAAAGATCCAATGAAATTTTTTCTGACACAAAGTGGGGAAACTCCAGCCTGAGTGAAGAATTGCTCAGAAGTGTAGGAATACGTGATAATGGGATTCAAAAAAAAAAACCACAGTGTTGTGGCTCAAAGTGAAGCCATTGCTGCCCCAGGGGCTCGTGTATTCTGATCAGGAGTGGGAGGCAAATTAGGCTGGCAATGCCTCTGTCTAGTCACCCCACCTGCAGAGTTTCCGAGTATGGTGGTTGCTTTCTCTATTAAACAGCTGACGTTCAGCCCCTTCTGCACTGCTAAAACCATTTCTCTCTCATGTCCTTGATTATGTGATGGCTACTGATAATGTTCATCCTCTTCTGCCAGGTTCCCTTGATCTAAACTGCCACCCTTAGCAAGGACTTCTAGTCCAGCTGGCTGTCTTATTTCCTTCAAAACTGCTGTTTTTCATGACAGCCTCTGGCCAGGAACATAGCGAGGAAAGGAAGGCAGTGCTGCACAGAGGGCAGCGACTGGGATGGGACACAGACAGCCCAGGCTGCCAGCAGACGGGGGCCAGGAAGTGTTTGGAAATACCACGATCCTTCTTCACACTTGCAGATGCTGGCATCGAGCAGCGGTGCTGTACCCTGCTGTCGGCGCTATCAAGAGCCTGGAACTAGGTCAGTTAACAACGTGCAGGCTTGAGCTGTCCTCTACTCCCACACAAGTTAACAGCACCATTAAATGTCAAATAGCTTTTGTCACCATTTTCTGCTCTTCGAGTGCCAGGTCTTAAACTGCATTTTGCTCATGTATTCCATACCTTCTCAGTGTTTTCATCTTCCATCTCTTGTCATCTCTTGCTTTGCCTTGCTGGTGTCATGATTGCAGCTCTGGAAGCTCTTCAGTCTGGGGCATGTGTATTTCTGAGGCATGTGTGACTGGTTTTGCATTGTTCTCCTGCACCCTGTTGACTTAACGGGGGTGGCACCTCTATACTGAATAGCAGAGCATTGCTCTCTGAATGTGAAACACGTTAATAAATAATACCCTCACTGACCAAATGCCAGCTGATTTTGTAAGCCTTGAATGGATAAACCAGCAATAACTTGGTATTTGCTTGTCTGGTATGAGCCGCTCCATTTTGTGAGCCCAGTGTGGGATAGGCACAGAGATGTGACCATCAGGCTCATCTTTAATTCCTTCTTTAGGGCTTGTTGGGTAAGTCAAAGCTCTCATGACACATCCTTGTCTGTGGACACAGTCTTATGCTGATCTCCATCCATGCAACCACTTTCCTCCACATGCCTACTCCCTGTTGACATAACCTCTGCTTTGATTTCCTGTGGTCATGCTAGTGCTCGTGTGGCCACAGTGTCCTCACAGCAATTTAGGGGCTAGCTGCTGGCAAGGGTGTGCACCAGAA